TGTATGTATGTATGTATGTATGTATGTATGTATGTATGTATGTATGTATGTATGTATGTATGTATGTATGTATGTATGTATGTATGTATGTATGTATGTATGTATGTATGTATGTATGTATGTATGTATGTATGTATGTATGTATGTATGTATGTATGTATGTATGCATGCATGCATGCATGCATGCATGTATGTATGTATAGACACACACGCACAAAGACAAACACAAACATATATAAGGTAATTTTGATAATGGATTTCAATGTCATATTATGGAATTGGACCCATTTGAGGCCCCGATGGTGCTCCGTTGGGTTCGGAAGTTATTCCTACCCCATTTAATGTATCGTGCAATTGTGTAAAACTCATAAATATCATGACTCGAAGGGAAACTCTCATTAATCAAAAGATTTTCAATAGAATAGCAGTGTCATCGTTTCTATGTGTCCAAAGAACAAATAGAAGCAAAAGTTCATACTTGTTGTGGCAGCAAACTCATTAATCCAGACTTACGCTTAAAAAATGAAAAATGACATTTCTACGCAGGTATCCCGATTGTATGGCAAGCTACAAAATACTACGTATTTATTCCTATCTCCATCTAAAACAAGATCTCCATCTAAAACAAGACACGTGGACACGTGGTTGACAAAAACAACAAGACCCCGGGGCCTCAAAGGCTTCGGCCCATTGCAGGGTAAGGGGGGGTCAGATGTAGGCAGCCTGACCCCAATATTTAAAACATAGAACGACAGTTTCCATATGACCGATGATGAGCGTCAAAAGTTACATTGACTAACTACTACTTCACTATAAAACAAGCGCATACAGTTTAAATATGCATTTTGCTTTATTCCTTCATACTCCAACAGAGATGACGGAATCAAGGCATGGTTAACAACATCATAATTTCGGTAAATTACAAATGTCATAAATAATGAACCATACTTATCTTTTCTATATCACATGTAACTTATTTGGGACTATTTTTAAGAAAATAAACAAAAATTAGTTTCATTTCATCAAGCATGGCTCTGTTTAATGACAAATATGTTTAAAACAAGACCCACTTTTTGGGACGATGGGAGTATTTTATATCTAATGAATTGCAGTAACTTATTACTCCTTATGATATTTATTATATATGTGGTGGCTGGAATATCATTGGATCTAAGACTTGCCTTAAGTCTCATATCGTTGTATTGTTAGTTCAAATTTGAGAACCCCAAGTATTAACTACTAGTACTACTTATTTGCTTCTTTGGTCAATCCTAAAGAAGGGACAATCCAACTGGTTCAGGGTAGCATTCACGTTTTGAAATGCATATTAACTTTAAAAAACAATTTCTTCATCCCAGTGTATTTGGCCAATTTTACTTATTTCAAATAAATTGGATGAACTTTGACTATCAATTTAGAAAACATGTATTGCATATTACAATAATACAAAAATACTTTCATTATATTTATATTGCAAAAAATCACAAAAAGTTATTTAATTGATATGCAATGTATATCATATTAATATGCAATGTAATGTATACTTTCATCATATACATTCATGATGAAAGTATACTTTCATCATATAACTTTCACAAAAAGTTACTTAATTCATGTACTTTCATCATATGAATATGCAATGTATATTTTATTTAATTGATGATAAGAAGAATTTTTTTAAAACTCAAATTTTACGAATAGAAAGGTAGTAGTAAAGTTAAATGTTATCATTGGGAATGTATATTAAAAAAGGCCAAAGATAAACCCTTAGCTAATGCGAAGTACCAGAGTACATACCAAATCTTTAATTCTCTCCATTACTCTAAAACTGATAAACATCTGTTTGCACCACCTAAATTGATCACTTCAATCCAAAATGCTCAATATACTAAACACTTGGAACAGTTTGTAGTCGAATAAAATCCACAATTTAAAGAACACATCTCCATGAATTCATCAGATAAAGTAGTTTGAATTAAACCTTTTGAGAATATCTATGTACCTTTGGTGATCTGAGTAGGGAATGGAGCGGAGAAAACAAATCTCTTGGCGTCTCTTCTCTCGTCTCTCTCTTGCTCTGTCCTTCCTATTCATTTACTTCCTCACTTCAGCTTCTGGAGTTCTTACCAAAAAAATTCCTCCTTTTTTACTCGTACCTCTCTATGTCCAACTTCGGTGACAGACTCTCACAGTCGCCATAAGTCTAAAATCTTTTGGAATACTAAACTTGCACGCATTAAGCTATTAAGCTATGTGTACCCCAACATTTATATCCCAATTTGTACCCCGCAGGTTTGCACTAACATTTTGTGTTGGTGTAAAACTAATTTTTGTTAACGCACTAACATTTGTGTCCGTGTAAATTTTTGTTAACCCACCAACACTTGTGTCGGTGTAAACCATCAAAATGTTTGTGCAAAACTGTGGTGTACAACTGGGGTACATTTTTTGGTGTAAGTGTAGCATGGTCCAACTCGCACATCTAATGAATTAGACCAATCTTTTGAAAATGGGACCGGACATAGGCTCGGACGAGCATTTAGGTCACGAGCAAATCACTCGGATTGGGTTAAACTGGATCAACGACTCGGTCAATTATAATTAAAATAAATTTTTTTTTAATATATTAATATAGATATTCTTACATAATAAAAGTATTTAAGTTTGTACTTTTTTCTTCTCCACCTAGTTTTTAATGCTCCGTGTCATTTTTCATATAGTACTCTTTCACACTTCCAAATTTTAATTTTTATTACCTTTATTAATTTTTTTAGAATTTTTAGTTTGTTGAATAGACTTTTTAGTTTATTGAAATAATAAAATAATACAAAAAAATACTGTTCATTTCTTTATTATTAAAAATTATTTTGAAATTTCTTAAAACAAGGACCTTACACAAATATATCTCTATTTTTTAAACAACTCAAACCTAACTAATATTCATTTCTTCTGATCAGTATTTGATTCAAGTAAACGATTTTGGTTCTATTTTATCAAGTCTAAACTTGAGGTACGGTTTCCTTTGGATTTGATGAGGTCATGTATGAGCTTATCAATGGTTTTGGAAAGTCTTTCCCTTTCCAGAACGGAGCGTAGGTTGTATGGAACGTGAGTTGCCATCTACAGAAAAATTTATCTATCATCTTGAATACTACCTCCGTCCCACTGTCTTTGTCCACTTTTGACTTTTGGAACTGTTCATCTAAACACTTTGACTCATCAAATTCTCTCAATGTGTAAGCCTAAATATAGTCATGTGTGATCTTGTTTGATTTGTATTAACATATAGATCATTAATATTGAAAGATAACCATGCAAGGATAGACAGCGGAATATAAAATTTTTTAACATCCTAACATGATTATCTTGCCTAGAATCACGTACTAAAACATATAGTAGTAAGAAATTTATAACTTTCTTCGTAAGCAGTAAAAATGAAGAAGTCGTAGTAAGAGCGTTGAAAGTGCAAACATAAACGTTCAAGCGTCCAGTCTCCAACTTTGACACACGAACAACCCCGGAGTCTACCACAATCTTTATGCTAGTAAAGATTATAGTAGTATAAAATGTAAAGATTAAAATTGGGATAATAATAATCTTGTATATTTCTATAGAAAATATTTCTAATAATATTTAAAATATTATATATATTTTCTATACACAAAATGATATTAATGGAACACAAAATAAATTTTCTCTCACTAAAATGAAGTGGCCAAAAATTCCCTAGAACCAAATTGATGAATGTGGTCTATTTTATTCAAGTGAGAAAGTGGGTATAATATTGGACTTTAATTATGCATAAAATGACAAATTAACAAATCAATTACAAATCACTAATTTATCAATCAAGTAAGTTAATACCAATTTGTCAACCTTGAAATCCATATGGCCGAATGATGATATGAGAAAGATATTTGAAATTCTTCTCCACTCAAATGTTCAAAGTGTATTTTATTTGACATCAAAAATTAATATAAAATTAATTTTCATAATAGTTTATGTCAAAATAATTATTTTCATAATTAAAATGACAAACCAAAATAAAATATTCAACATATAATATATATATATATATATATATATAGATATATATATATATAGATATATATATTTCGGTATTTATATATGTAAATATATCACCGAATGTTTTACATATATATAATATTATATTCCAAAATATTTTATTTTACTATTTTACAAATATACAAATTACTTATTATCCCATTGTTTAATCCTACTCCTTAAATTCTTCAAAGTGTGTGACCCGTAAAGGCACTTATAAAGCTGGCCACAGTATTGGCTCTGCACCAATACTATAAGCAATAAGCGGTATCTAACAACACATTATTGCCCCCAGATTATAAGTTAAGACGTTTGCACCGTCAAAACCTTTCCACGACTCAGACTCCGTGTAACTGTATCCCTTTGTCTCAATGTCTAAACTTAATGCAAGGGATTAATAAAATCCAACTTGTATCCATTAAGTCATTCACTGATTTATCAAGTCTGACTAATAGGAACATACGTCATAAAAACATCTCAGCATGGCCATGCAGTTACCTCAGTCATGACTTATCAGTGGGCCCCATAAAACATTAATCTCTTAAAAAGAGTAGTGACAAATCCTATGTACATAATCTACGTTTCTGAATACGCGCTGCGGCATACCCAAAACAAAGCCTGTATACCATCCTTATTTCATATGGATTAGGACAATGCATCAAAGCATGCGGGTTCACATATGCAGAAAACGTAATACTTCAAGTCGAAGGATAGTTACACCCGTGGTCGCGCTAAAGATGCTTAGAGCATGAAATAAAAATTCAAGCAACATCTTTAGGATGGGTCTGTAACACCCGCCTTCCGTGGACCCGGTTCACCCGCGACCCAACGGACCGGTAGAGTTACATGGACTGTCCGAGAACCGTCCGTTACAAAAACATTAATGATTATTTAATAAGAAAACAGTTGGGTTTAAATTAGTGAAATAAATGCCAGGGAGTTACTCCCAAAACGTGTGTAATAAAAGTGCAGAGTAAATGCGGAAGTAAATAAATAAGTCCAGTCCAAATTAAATAACAACAAGGGTGGGTTCATGCCCAATTAATTAATTAAGTTTATGGAAATAAAAAAAAGCCCGTCCGCGCGCCGTCCATCTCTCCATCGTCACTGCTCTCCAGGGTTAGCACCCGCACCGTCATGTCTATCTGCGTGTAGCAAAGACAACTACACGCTCAGCATAAGCTGATGAGTGAATCTAAAAAAAGAACATTAAGTGATAACCCATATGGCTATACACATATTAATACCTGTACTTAACGTACGGGAAAAACCACATGTTACTAATTGTTTAGTTTCCACCTGTTAGAGCTATTAAAAACCACAAGGTGATTGGAACATACATGATGATGATATGACTTGAACTATCAGAAACACCCCTGACATAGTCTCACTCGACAGGATCACCCCTGCACTCCGGTCATCGTCCCCAAACGGTAACGAGCCGGGCACGACGAAGATCTCGCGAGTGAACTAGCAAAAACCGGGTAGTAGCCGTAGCCTGACTACTATGTACGTACAAAAGTCCCACATGATGGAAACCCGTTGGTCCGCGAAGGTTCCTGGACGGGCCAACTGTAGTAGGCGCACGAAGTCCTCCCTACAGCAGTATGCACATGATGAAACCTAAGATATGCGTCTAGAATGAACATGATGGATGCTTGATGTTTTTTTACCTTTGGTAAATGTCGAGAATATATCAATTATATAACATTTTAAATAAAGATTAACTTTTCATGCAAGAAACGATCAGATTCTGGGTCAACGGGCTCGTTCTACAAACTGCTCGGAAGTCTGCCCGTAGAACGGTCGACCGTACCCTACCGGCGGTCGACCGTGGACTGCGTTGTAGGGAACTCGATGGCCGACGGTCCACTGTGGTCTTCCGTCGTGGCCGGCGGTCGACCGTCACGGTGGTGACCGTCGGATTGGCCATGGGTACAATCCACCGTCCGTAGTGGCAGTCGATTGTCCCGGAGGCAGTTCGCTGTCCTTTACTCTGTTTTGGTCCGTTTTGCTAATTTAACACGTAGATTCTTTTTAGAACAATAACATAACATTTATGAATATATTTCTAGTGATTCCTAGGCCAAAATTTATAGGTTTACGTAATGAACATTTTGGTGATTAATCTACGAACATGTATGGTTTCTTTGTAGGTTGCGTACGATATTTCTATGAATATAACGACATAGATTATAACTTAATGTTCTAGAATTAGAGGGGACAACTACTCACCTCTAAATGAAGGGGTTGACGGAATGAGATGAACAAATGGTGCCAACGAACGGACGAACGACGACTACGCTTCGCACGAACGCCCTAGCCCTTCTTCTCCTTCAACCTTGCACCCTCCGGAGCTTCGCCGGAGGTCCTCCTCACTGTTGGTCTGGCCGAAAATGAGAGAGAGAGGGAGAGAGAAGATGAATTGTGTGTGGGAGTTACAAAAATGTGAGGGGATGAATGGGAAATGTGTGAGTTTTTAAGTTATGGGAATAATGAGGAGAATGAATGAGAGTGATGGTGAGTTATGGGGAATGAGTGGCGTAAGGGGTGAATTTGGGGGGTTACAAATGTTTATTCTACTCCGTAATGTAAAATCTGACCTGAACGGTACGCGCTTTCCCCCCAAACGGGTCCGAATTGAGATCCGTTTGCGTTTCTGGAATCAGGCAGTCAAAACGAATTTAATGATATGATCAAATAATTTTTCTAAGAACTTTTGAATTTCCCCAACTCTGGTCCGGAACAGTAATTAATTAATTAAATTAATCAATTCTATTAGACCGGGTTGCAGGGTGTTACAATTATCCACCCCTTAAGAAAATTTTGTCCCCGAAATTTACCTGATCACTGAAAAGATGTGGATAACGAGCGCGCATGGATTCCTCGGTTACCCATGTCGCCTCCTCAACGGTGTGACTTCTCCACAGGACCTTGACCAGCGGAATGGTTTTGTTTCTCAATTGACGGACTTCGCGAGCCAGAATCTCAACTGGCTCCTCCTCATACGTAAGATTCTCATAGTGTGACTGTATCAGCTGGAATCACATGAGATGGGTCCGACCGGTACCTCTGGAGCATTGACACGTGGAAAACATCGTGGATCTTGCTCAACTCCGATGGTAACTCGAGCCTGTAAGCTACAGGTCCTACCCGTTCAGTGACTAGGTACGAGCCTATAAACCTCGGACTCAATTTACCCCTCTTGCCGAAACGTAGGATGTTTTTCCAGGGTGACACCTTCAGGTAAACCCTATCCCCGACGGCATACTCGATGTCACGCTTCTTAAGGTCGGCGTAGGACTTCTGCCGGTCCGAAGCCGCCTTAAGTCGGTCCTTAATCACCTGAACCTTCTCCTCGGTCTCACGAACCAGATCAGGCCCCTCTAGCCTCTTCTCACTGAGCTCCGTCCAACAAGTAGGGGTACGACAGGGTCTACCGTACAGAGCTTCGTACGGTGCCATACCGATGCTAGCTTGGTGACTGTTGTTGTATGCAAACTCCATGAGTGGCAGGTATCGCTCCCAACCGTCCTCGAAGTCGATTGCACACGCATGCATCATATCCTCAAGAATCTGAATCACCCTCTCCGACTGACCGTCTGTCTGAGGGTGGAACGTCGTACTAAAGTGGAGAACGGAGCCCAATGCCCTCTGTAGACTCTACCAAAATTGTGATGTGAATCGAGGGTCACGATCCGAAATGATAGATGACGGTACTCCATGTAGCCTGATGATCTCGCGGATGTATAACTCCGCTAATCGCTGGAGTGAGAAGTCACGACGAATGGGGAGAAAATGTGCTGATTTTGTCAACCGATCAACGATGACCCAAACTGTGTCGTGCTTACGTGGTGACAATGGCAGTCCCATGACGAAATCCATCGTAATGCGATCCCACTTCCACTCGGGAATGGTGATCTTCTGAAGCAATCCTGAAGGAACCTGGTGCTCGGCCTTGACCTGCTGACAAGTCAAACACCGCGACATGAATTCAGTGATCTCCCGCTTCATCGCGGGCCACCAGTAATGTCTCCTAAGGTCCTGTAACATCTTGTTACTGCCCGGGTGCATGGAATACACAGTGATGTGTGCTTCGCGAAGCAGGCGTTCTCTCACCTCCCCCGCTGGCACAACCATACGCTCCCGATAGTACAAGATACCATCCCGAACTTCAAAATCTGGCTTCTGTCCTCAAGAGACGAGCTCAACGGTCTCGATACAGAAATCATCACTACTCTGGGCTGAGGCTATCTGCTGCTGTAATGTAGGTTGGACGTGTAGCACAGCTAGAGTCTTACGACTAAGGGCATCGGCTACCACATTCGCCTTTCCTGGGTGGTAAGCAATGTGACAGTCATAGTCCTTAATCAACTCTAACCACCTCCTCTGTCGGAGATTCAGATCCTTCTGCGTCAACAGGTACTGAAGACTCTTATGGTGGGTGAAGATACGCGTCGTCTCACCGTAGAGGTAATGCCTCCAGATTTTCATGGCAAGTACAACAGCTGCTAGCTCTAGGTCGTGTGTCGGATAATTACACTCGTGCGGCTTCAGCTGCCGAGATGCATACGCAACGACCTTGCCCTCCTGCATGAGAACACACCCCAAGCCGTTATGGGACGCGTCGCTGAAAACTGTATACTCCACTCTTGGAGTGGGCTGAACTAGAACTAGTGCCTGGGTTAGACACTCCTTCAGCCGCTCGAAACTCTGCTGATAAGCGTCAGTCCAAATGAACTTGACGTCCTTCCTCATCAGCTTGTGTAGTGGTGATGCTATTTTGGAGAAGTTCTTCACGAACCGGCGATAGTAACCCGCCAGTCCGAGAAAACTCCTCACCTCACGTGCATTCCGCGGAGTCTTCCACTCCGTGATCGCTGCTATCTTACACGGGTCTACCTTCACACCTTCGGCCGAGATGACATGGCCGAGGAAGGTAACCTCGTGCAACCAGAACTCGCACTTGGACAGCTTGGCATAAAGCTGTTGTTCCCGAAGAATGCTCAAAATGATACGTAGATGCTCGGCATGCTCCTCTTGCGTCTTGGAGTACACCAAGATGTCATCAATGAAGACCACAACAAACTGATCAAGATGCTTCCGGAACACACTGCTCATCAGATCCATGAACACTGCTGCATGACTGTGAACTCGTAATGACCGTATCTCGTGCGGAAAGCCGTCTTAGGAATGTCCTCCTTCTTGACGGGAATCTGATGGTACCCTGATCGGAGATCGATCTTAGAGAAGATCGTGGCTCCCCTCAGCTGGTCAAACAAATCGTCAATGCGGGGTAACAGATAGCGATTCTTGATGGTAACTTTATTTAACTGACGGTAATCAATGCACAACCGCATCGATACGTCCTTCTTGCGGACGAACAGAACCGGTGCTCCCCAAGGAGACGCACTAGGTCGGATGAAGCCCTTATCCAGCAACTCCTGCAGTTGAGCCTTCAGCTCCTTCATCTCCGCAGGCGCCATGCGATAAGGTGTGATCAAGATCGGTCCTGTTCCTAGAACATGATCAATGGAAAACTCTACCTCCCTAGGGGGCGGTAGACCAGGTAAGTCATCTGGAAACACATCAGGAAAGTCACATACCGTTGGGATGTCCCCCCTACTAGGCGCCTCCTGACAAGTGTCACGCACTGTGCACAAGAATGCTTCACACTTCTTGCGAATGAGTCGACGAGCATGAATGTAGGAAATGAATTCTGGAGCTTTCGGAAGAAGCTCACCATGGATCAGTACGTCACTACCGTCTTCGGCTCTCAATCGAACAGTATGAGCTTCACAGTCAACAACGGCTTGGTTGGCGGTGAGCCAATCCATGCCTAGAATAACGTCAAACTCACGATGTGGAAGCTCAATGAGACTCGCAGGGAAGATCTTTCCCTGGACTACTAACGGGCAATCGTGATACACATGGATGAGTCGTAGACTGTGTCCCAATGGGTTGGACACGATTACCGGGTTGTCTAAGTCTTCCCTCGGAATGTTAGGCATAACAGGCATAGGCATACAAAAATATGATTGAGTGGAACCCGGATCAATCAAAGCTGTAATAGATGTATCGAACAAGGTAAACGTACCCATGATGACGTCATGGGCTGGCTGCTCGGTACGCCCTCGCATCGCGTAAGTGCGGGCTGGGGCCTTCCCCCCTTGAGCGCCTGATGCTTGCCGCTTGGGCTAACTGGATGCTGCCGCCGACTTCTGGCTCTGGGCGGGCTGTGCTGCTGGGGCTGAAGCGGCCGGTGCAATCGAGAATGCCTCACCCGGATTCTTCGGACAATCCTTTCGGAAATGCCCGGCTTGGCCACACCCAAGGCACAAGCCCAAAGTGTACCAACACTCCCCTGGGTGCCTGCGCCCACAATGGTCGCAAATCGGGTTGCGGAACCCATCTCCGCTCTTTCCCTTCTTTTGCACGGACGCAGATGACTGAGCTGGGGCTGACTTCACCTTCTTGCTCTTGTGAGAGCTGCTCGGCGCTGCAAAGGACCTCTTGCTGCTGGTCCCCACCTTCTAGGGTGGAGGAGGACGGGATGGTGCTGCTGACGCCCCCTGCGCCTGCTCGAATTCAGCCTTCTTAATGAGGGCAGCATTCAGGTCCAACACATTCTTGTACAACACGTTGATGTCACTTCATGGGGCAATTATCAGATGAGTTGAAAGGTCAGGACGTAAGCCCTCCATGAAGCGTTTGCACCGCTTCTCCACAGTCGGTACGAGGTCTTGCCCAAACCCCGCGAGCTCGCCAAACTTCTGACGATACTCAGGCAGCGTGAGTTCACCCTGGGTGAACTTCAAGAACTCCTCTCGCTTCGCCTCGACGAAGTGCTCTGGGATGTACTCCTCATGGAAGAGTCGATCAAAAGTGGCCCAATGAATGATAGGGACAGCTTCAGGAATCGGGTCCGCGCCCGGAACCGCCTGCTCAGAGGCCTGCTGGGGTGTGAAGCTTGACGCTTCAGTGTGCACGCTCACGTGCTCAGGCTCACCCTCTGGGACAGCCTGTCCGTCGTTGCCAGCTGCTTGACTCATTTTCTAAAGGAATAACTTAAATCAGAACTAACTACAATATGACATACATGTGATTAAAATAACGGTGTACCTTTCCCTAGGAGTGATGTGATGGGAGATGCGGCTGTGGACTTTTGAAAAATACCCTTTTGACCCAAAATGACAATTTTTTTTACAAAACCGAACTGCTCTGAAACCAAATTGTAACACCCGCCTTCCGTGGACCCGGTTCACCCGCAACCCAACGGACCGGTAGAGTTACATGGACTGTCTGAGAACCGTCCGTTACAAAATCATTAATGATTATTTAATAAGAAAACAGTTGGGTTTAAATTAGTGAAATAAATGCCAGGGAGTTACTCCCAAAACGTGTGTAATAAAAGTTCAGAGTAAATGCGGAAGTAAATAAATAAGTCCAGTCCAAATTAAATAACAACAAGGGTGGGTTCATGCCCAATTAATTAATTAAGTTTATGGAAATAAAAAAAAGCCCGTCCGCGCACCGCCCATCTCTCCATCGTCACTGCTCTCCAGGGTTAGCACCCGCACCGTCATGTCTATCTGCGTGTAGCAAAGACAACTACACGCTCAGCATAAGCTGATGAGTGAATCTAACAAAAGAACATTAAGTGATAACCCATATGGCTATACACATATTAATACATGTACTTAACGTACGGGAAAAACCACATGTTACTAATTGTTTAGTTTCCACCTGTTAGAGCTATTAAAAACCACAAGGTGATTGGAACATACATGATGATGATATGACTTGATGCAAGACTTTAACTATCAGAAAAACCCCTGACTTAGTCTCACTCGACAGGATCACCCCTGCACTCCGGTCATCGTCCCCGAACAGTAACGAACCGGGCACGACGAAGATGTCGCGAGTGAACTAGCAAAAACCGGGTAGTAGCCGTAGCCTGACTACTATGTACATACACAAGCCCCACATGATGGAAACCCATTGGTCCCCGAAGGTTCCTGGACGGTCCCACTGTAGTAGGCGCACGAAGTCCTCCCTACAGCGGTATGCACATGATGAAACCTAACACATGCGTCTAGAATGAACATGATGGATGCTTGATGTTTTTTTTACCTTTGGTAAATTCCGAGAATATATCAATTATATAACATTTTAAATAAAGATTAACTTTTCATGCAAGAAATGATCAGATTCTGGGTCAACGGGCTCGTTCTACAAACTGCCCGGAAGTCTGCCCGTAGAACGGTCGACCGTACCCTACCGGCGGTCGACCGTGGACTGCATTGTGGGGAACTCGATGGCCGACGGTCCACCGTGGTCTTCCGTCCTAGCCGGCGGTCGACCGTCACGGTGGTGACTGTCGGATTGGCCATGGGTACGGTCCACCGTCCGTAGTGGTAGTCGACCGTCCCGGAGGCAGACCGCTGTCCTTTACTCTGTTTTGGTCCGTTTTGCTAATTTAACACCTAGATTCTTTTTAGAAAAATAACATAACATTTATGAATATATTTCTAGTGATTCCTAGGCCAAAATTTATAGGTTTACGTAATGAACATTTTGGTGATTAATCTACGAACATGTATGGATTCTATGTAGGTTGCGTACGATATTTCTATGAATATAACGACATAGATTATAACTTAATGTTCTAGAATTAGAGGGGACAACTACTCACCTCTAAATGAAGGGGTTGACGGAACGAGATGAACGAATGGTACCAACGAACGGACGAACGACGACTACGCTTCGCATGAACGCCCTAGCCCTTCTTCTCCTTCAACCTTGCACCCTCCGGAGCTTCGCCGGAGGTCCTCCTCACTGCTGGTCTGGCCGAAAATGAGAGAGAGAGGGAGAGAGAAGATGAATTGTGTGTGGGAGTTACAAAAATGTGAGGGGATGAATGGGAAATGTGTGGGTTTTTAAGTTATGGGAATAATGAGGAGAATGAATGAGAGTGATGGTGAGTTATGGGGAACGAGTGGCGTAAGGGGTGAATTTGGGGGGTTACAAATGTTTATTCTACTCCGTAATGTAAAATCTGACTAGAACGGTACGCGCTTTTCCCCCCAAACGGGTCCTAATTGAGATCCATTTGCGTTTCTGGAATCAGGCAGTCAAAATGAATTTAATGATATGATCAAATAATTTTTCTAAGAACTTTTGAATTTCCCCAACTCTGGCCCGGAACAGTAATTAATTAATTAAATTAATCAATTCTATTTGACCGTGTTGCAGGGTGTTACAGGGTCAGTCCGGCATCCTATTATTTCCAGATAATATCTGCCCATATGCGGATGCGAACACACCGTCATTGACTATGAGACTAAGTCAAACATCGAGCACACACTCGTTAATACTCGACTATGGACATTCAGATAAATATTTATTTCAAGATGTTAGTCTCATCAGCAGAAAAATACTATCTGATAAACATCTTTAAATATAAATCTAGGAATATAATATTTGTTTACATTAGCATGAGATGTGTAAACATATTATATCTGCCTATTCATGATAGAATAACGATAAACAGTTGGCCATCAGGGCACAACTCCAACAATCTCCCACTTGCACTATGGCCAATCTGGCATCGGTCGAATGCCCATGGACCTAGTGTGACCCTCATGCTTTAGCTTTCCTAAAGGCTTGGTCAAGGGATCGGCTATGTTGTCGTCGGTATCTACTATGCAAATCATCACATCTCCTCTATCTACGATTTCTCGTATGATGTGATAGCATCATACAATGTGTTTGGTTTTCTGGTGAGATTACGGTTCCTTTGCCTGTGCAATGGCCCCAGTGTTGTCGCAAAACAACGAGATAGGGTCATTAATACTAGGAACCACTCCAAGTTCAGTAATGAACTTCTTGATCCAAACAGCTTCTTTTGCTGCCTCGGCAGCAGCTATGTACTCAGCCTCTGTAGTCGAATCGGCGGTTGTATCCTCCTTGAAGCTCTTCCAAATAAAAGCTCCGCCATTGAGGCAAAAAAAATATCCTGCTTGTGATTTTGAATCGTCTCTGTCAGTTTGGAAGCTAGCATCAGTGTAACCGACCACCTTTAGCTCGTCCTCACCACCGTATACCAGGAATGCATCCTTAGTATTGCGAAGATACTTGAGGATGTTCTTGACCGCTGTCCAGTGTGCTTCTCTTGGACTTCCCTGGTATCTGCTGGTCACGCTTAAAGCGAATGAGACATCAGGTCTAGTACATATCATGGCGTACATGATGGATCCAATTGCAGAAGCGTATGGAACCTTCATCATGAGTTCCTTCTGCTCGTGAGTGGAAGGACTCTGGCTCTTGGAAAGAACCGTGCCAGGTTTCATAGGTAAAGATCCTTTCTTTGAGTTAGACATACTAAATCGATCAAGGATTTTATATATATATGTACTTTGATTCAGACCTATTAACTTTCTTGATCTATCTCGGTAGATTCTTATGCCAAGGACATAACTAGCATCCCCTAAGTCTTTCATGGAGAAATTCTCGCTTAACCACGTCTTTACAAAAGTGAGAGCGGGAATATTGTTACCCATTAACAATATGTCATCGACATATAAGATTAGGAATACTATTACACTCCCACAGACCTTCTTGTATACACAAGATTCGTCAGAATTCTTTTCGAAACCAAAACTAGAAATGGTTTCATCAAAACGTATGTACCAACTCAGAGATGCTTGTTTCAATCCGTAGATTGAACGTTGCAGCTTACAAACTTTGGCAGACTGACCAGCAACTTGAAAACCGTCAGGCTGTGTCATGAAGACATCCTCTTTGAGATTCCCGTTAAGGAAAGCCGTCTTGACGTCCATCTGCCAAATTTCATAATCGTAATAGGCTGCAATCGCAAGCATTATCCGAATGGATTTAAGCATAACCACTGGAGAAAAGGTTTCATCATAGTCAATTCCGTGGATTTGTCTATAACCTTTTGCTACCAATATAGCTTTGAAGGTATGAACCTTCCCGTCTACGTCTGTCTTCTTTTTGAAGACCCACTTGCATCCAATGGGTTTTACCCCTTCGGGCGCATCAACCAAGGTCCAGACTTGGTTTGTGTACATAGACTCCATTTCAGATTTCATGGCTTCGAGCCATAGATCGGATTCAGGGCAAGTAATTGCCTCGAGGTAGGTCTCTGCTTCGCCTTGATCTACCAACAAGACTTCGCCTTCACATGAGAAATCCATATCTGACCGGAGGATTACATATCCGGTCTGACCTACGTGGTATATCTTGAGCAGTTTGAGGTTCAATTGCTTGATCTCTTTGCTCAGGTTCCAACACTATCGGGACTTCTTCTTGTGGTTCTCGAATTTCTTCCAGATCTACCTTTCTCCCACTAGTGATAGTAGAAAGAAACTCCTTCTCTAGGAAGGTTCCATTCCGAGCAACGAAAATTTTGTTATCGGATGGATGATAGAACTCATACCCTCTAGTTTCCTTGGGGTATACCACAAAAATTACTTTATCAGATTTAGGCTCTAACTTACTAGACGTCATGAGACGTTTTACATAAGCTTCACAGCCCCAAATCTTAAAGTACGAGAAACTCGGTTTTCTCCCACGCCATAGTTCGTATGGTGTGCTCTCGACAGCTTTAGATGGAACTCTGTTGAGTGTGTGTGCTGCTATTTTCAATGCATATCCCCAAAATGATTCTGGCAATGTAGTCAGACTAATCATGCTCCGGACCATGTCTAGCAAAGTCCAATTTCTCCTCCCAGACACTCCATTTAACTGAGTTGTCCCCGGAGGAGTGAGTTGGGATAATATCCCATGCTCTTTCTGATAGTCATCGAACTCCAGGCTTAAGTATTCACCTCCTTTATCCGAGCGAAGGGTCTTAATACTCTTGCCTAATTGTTTTTCTACTTCGTTCTTGAATTCTTTGAATTTGTCAAAGCATTCCAATTTGTGTTTCATGAGATACACATATCCATATCTACTAAGGTCGTCAGTAAATGTAACGAAGTAAGAATAACCACCTCTAGCTACAGTGCTAATTGGACCACACACATCGGAGTGTAGGAGGCCCAATAAGTCACTCGCCCTTTCACCGTGACCGGTGAATGGAGCCTTTGTCATTTTACCAAGTAAACAAGATTTACATACATCATATGACTGGAAGTCAAATGAATCAAGTACACCTGAGCGATGTAACTTAGATATACGTTTCTCGTTAATGTGGCCCAAACGACAATTCCATAGGTACGCAAGATTCAAACTGTTAGGTTTGTTTCTCTTAACATTTACGTTATATATTGCGGTATCCATGTCAAGGACATAGAGACCGTTGGTCATTTTTGCACTTGCATAAAATATATCATTTCTAAAGACAGAAAGAGTTTTGTCTTTTACAACGAATGAAAATCCTGCTTTGTCAAGGCAGGATACAGAAATGATGTTTCTGCTCATACTAAGTACAAATAGACAATTATTCAAATGTAATATTAGACCACTAGGTAGAGATAAACTATAGGTTCCGACGGCCAATGCATAGACGAGTGCGCCATTGCCGACTTTTAGTTGTATCTTTCCCTCCGTCAATTGCCTATATTCATGCAAGTTCTGCATAGAAGTACAGATGTGAGAAGCACATCCAGTATCCATCACCCAAGAGGTGATATCAGACATATTGACTTCGATAACGTAAATTCCTGAGCTTTGGGGCTGACCCTGGTAAAGGTCTCTTAAGCATTGTATCATAGGACACACTTCCATGTCTGCGTGGAGCCTTTGGAGCTCCGCGGTCATAGTGGCCATAATGATACACTTTACATCTCATGCGTCGTCCTCATACTTCTTGAAGGAAGTGAGTTCGGACGCACGAGAATTAGCATCAGGGATCATGGGTGTTGGAACACACTTTGTACGATAAACTAAAGTCGTGTTCATTTCTGACAAGTTTTGATAATTGCCAAACCGCCGCGGATATGAAGAGTTTCGTTGAATAACTCAAGGCGTGAAGAATGGCTTGAAACAAGACCAAAAAGACTCAAGGACAAGATCAAGAATTGAAGACTTAGTCGAGTCGGTCTTTTGTGATCAAAACCGACAATAAATTCAAGTCTCGGTTCTCAAAGAGTCAAAACAATTTTTACAAATCATAAAATATTTTTGTGCATCAAAATAAATATTTCTGATGTTTTTTTATTAAAATCCCTGGTCCTTGCTCGGAACCTAAACCACCTAAGTCGGCGTTCGGCTTTCGGTGTTTGGTTTTTGGCACCCGAACCAACTCCATGGTTTTCAATATTTTAAATCCTGTTTTTACCTCTGAGCATTTTTAAAATGTTCCCAAATAATTATTTTATAAAAACCACTTTTGTATCTTGGTCAATCGGTCTAACACGTGAAAAACGGTCAAAACCGTACGCACGTGATGTACGACCTTAGAGACTTGGTTTTTACCGAACAAGTCTTGTTTTCACTATTTTATGCCATATACAATGTTTTTCAAACTTGGTTTTTACTTTTGGGAACACTTCGTTTTTGGACCTCGGTTTTTCAAAACGGGTTTCAGCGGGCTAGACTTTAACTGGGTGATAATCGATTATCACCTTAGTGACAATCGACTATCAGCCCCTGCAGCTTTGAACTTCTAAAGTTCTGAAGCATGCAATAATCGATTATCACTTATGTAATAATCGATTATCAGTCTTTGCAGCCAAAACCCAGAATCTTCTGAGAGGACCAATAATCGATTATCACTTGTTGACAATCGATTATCTGGGTTACCGTTGTCCTCCAACGGATAGAATTTTAAATTTTTGGACAAAGAATCTTTTGATAATCGATTATCAAGCTTGGATAATCGACGATCAGCCTGTGTCTCTGAAAAATTTGTCTTCATCCTGTTGGAAATTCTAGCAACGGGTTTATCCCATTTTGGGCTATAAAATGGAACCAAAATCCTCTCATTTTAAACACAATTCTTCAAAATTTCAATACTCTTTCATTGCATAAGCATTCCTATCTTTTATTAGCTATTTGAGAGCCAATTCTTGAAGAAATTGTCGTGTTCTTGAGCGTTTACTAGTTCACTCATATCTACTCTTTGTGAGAGTTTTTATTCCTGAGTGTTTAGGTGTTTTCATACACTTTAAGGGAGGTTGTTTCCTTGTTGTAAACTTGAAGGAAGTCTTTCGTTCCTTCGTGAGAAGTCTTGGAGTGCGGTATCTCCGAGCAAAGGCGTTGAGGCTCGTGTGACTCGAGTTCTCAAGTTGTATCGGTTTGTTGAGCACCTTTAAGCTTAACAGAGTTAGTGTAACTCGAGAGAGTCTCTCGAAAGGCTGGATTAGCCACACGTTGTGGTGAACGAGGATAAAATTCGGCGATTTCGTTTATCACTCTTTACTTTATCACTCGAGAGAGTCGCTCTTTACTTTATCACTCTCATTTTTAATTTCCTGCGATTTCGTTTTAAACGCTATTCACCCCCCTCTAGCGTTGGGCCTTTATTCTAACAATTGGTATCGGAGCCATACTCTCTGAAAGACTTAACCGTTTGAGAGAAACGATCAATGGCTTCTACTCAAAGTTCATACGCAGGTTTAGGTGAAGGGCAATCCACCACGAGGCCTCCGTTGTTTGACGGAACAAACTACACCTATTGGAAGGAGCGGATGAGGATTTACATCCAATCCACCAACTTTCTCCTTTGGAGAATTATCAAAACTGGTGAGGACGTGCCAATGAAGAAGTTCGAGGAAACCAACGTCCCTAAGACCGAGAATGAATATGATGCACAAGACATCAAGAAAGTGGAAAACAATGCCAAGGCCATCAACATCATCTATTGTGCCGTTAACCCGGATGACTACCGGAAGATTTCTTGTTGCACCACCGCGAAGGAAATGTGGGACAAACTAGAAATCACCTACGAAGGTACGGATCAAGTCCGAGAAGCTAAAATTGATTTTCTAACCCATGAATATGAATTGTTTCGTATGAAGGAAAACGAGAAAATTGATGAGATGTTTGTACGATTCTCCAAAATCGTCAATGATCTTCATGCTCTCAAGAAGACGTACACGGACAAGGAGCTTGTGAGAAAAGTCCTGCGAAGTCTCACACCGGAGTGGCGCTCCAAAGCCGATGCCATTCACGAGTCCATCGGCATCACCAACGTCACCATTGACGGACTTAGAGGTAACCTCAAAACCTATGAGTCCACCATTCTATTCCCTTCTTTAGGTGAACAAAAGAAGAAGGGGATTGCACTCAAGGCTACCTCAAGTCAAGAACCCGCCATGGAGGAATCAAGCGATGAGGACAACGAGTTCGGGCTCGTCATCAAAAAGTTCCACAAGTTCATGCGAAAAGAGTATGAACGAAAGGGCAAAAAGCATGGAGGACCACCCAAGTGCTATGGGTGTGGAGAAGTTGGGCACATCAAGCCAAAATGCCCAAATGCCAAAAACGAGAAGGAGAAGAAACCGTTCAAGAAGCACCGAGCTTACATTTCATGGGGAGGTGATTCCGGCGATGAGTCATCGGATGGCGAAGAGAATGAAAGCTCCAACCTTTGCCTCATGGCACACGAGGAACCACCGGAAGAGGTATGTACCACTTTTAAAGATTCCTATACATTGGATGATGTACAAGAAGCATTTAATGAACTCTATGATGAATATGTCAATGCTTCTAAAATTAACAAGGATTTAAAGAAACAACTTACTTCCATGGAGAAGGAAGTTGATAAATTATCAAAAGATAATGAAAAACTAAAGGAAGAAAATAAGTTTTTCGGAAAAAGAAGCGCTGACAAACCGGAGAGTTCAAAATGTAGTTCATGTACATCACTTAAAGAACAAGTTGCAAAACTTGAAGGAACCTTAAAGAAGTTTGGTGTTTCTCACAAAAATCTCAATGATGTCCTTGATAATTTGCAACTTACTAAACATGGCTTAGGATTTGAAAATGAAACCAATAATAAGGAAAACGTTGAGCAACCACCTAAACAACCTAGGAAAACTAAAATGAACAATAATAGACAACCTACATCAACCAGGAACACTAGACCACCTAGAAACCATTTTCCAAATGTGCATAAACAAAACATTTCTCAAACTAGGGTCAAGCAATATAGAAAACCTAGTAACTATTATCAACCTAGGAGAATGCATAATCCAAATGTTATTTGTCATTATTGCAATAGGATATGACATATAGACCCGGTTTGTTTCACTAGGCATATGCATTGCACTCAAAACCAATCACACTACCAACGTGCACCTAACGCCCAAGGACCCAAAAGAAATTGGGTACCTAAATCTTTTTAAATTGGTTTGTAGGTGTGCTTGAAGGCATAAAGTGTACTTTGGTACCTTGATAGCGGATGCTCCAAGCACATGACCGGAGATGCATCCAAGTTTTTGCAAATCAAACCAACTAAAGGAGGAAACGTTGTCTTTGGAGATAATAGCAAAGGCAAGATAATCGGCATTGGTTCGGTTGGTAAAAACGAAAACTCCTCTAATGGTAATGTTTTGTTGGTTAAGGGTCTTAAACACAATCTCTTGAGCATAAGTCAATTGTGTGACAAGGGAAATCGTGTGACCTTCGATTCCAAATCATGTACGGTAGAACGTCTTAGTGGCAATAAGACGATTCTTCGTGGTGATAGAATTGATAACATTTACATGGTTAACTTAGATGAATCTCCCTCCGACTTTGCAAAATGTCTCATGAGTAAGGAGGACGATATGTGGCTATGGCATCGTAGAGTAGCTCATGTCAACATGAACCTTTTGAATAAATTGGTTTCACAAGACCTAGTAGTTGGCCTTCCAAAACTCAAGTTTGAGAAGGACACCATTTGTGATTCATGTCAAAAGGGCAAGCAAGTAAGGGCCTCATTTAAATCGAAAAATGTTGTGTCTACAACAAGGCCCCTACAACTTTTGCACATGGATCTCTTTGGACCATCAAGAACAAAAAGTTTTGGGGGAAACTATTTCGCCTTTGTAATTGTTGATGACTACTCTCGATTCACATGGACATTATTTCTAACTCATAAAAGTGAGGCATTTCATGTTTTCAAAACTTTTCTCAAAAAGGTTCAAAATGAAAAAGGCTTAACCACCGTAGCCATACGAAGCGATCACGGTGGAGAGTTCGAACGAGATCTCTTTACCGAGTTTTGTGAAGAACTAGGCATTGAGCATAACTTCTCCGCTCCACGTACACCACAACAAAATGGCATGGTGGAACGTAAAAATCGTTGCCTTGAGGAGATGGCTAGAACTATGCTTGATGAGGCAAAAATTCCTAAGTATTTTTGGGCGGATGCCGTGAGTACCGCGAGCTACATGTTAAAGCGAGCCGTCATTAGACCGATACTCATGAAAACCCCATACAAATTATACAAAGGAAGAAAGCCAAACCTCTCCCATCTTCGAGTCTTTGGTTGCAAATGTTTTGTTCACAATAACGGAAAAGATAATTTGGGTAAATTCGATGCAAAGTCGGATGAAGGAATTTTTCTTGGTTATTCATTGCGTAGTAAGGCTTATAGAGTCTTCAACAAACGCACCTTAACCGTTGAGGAATCTCCTCATGTTGTCTTTGCCGAAAATGATGCTCGCTTGGCGAGAAAGGTTTCTTGTGATGATCTTGTAGATTCGTTGGAGAACATCTATCTCAACGACGATGACGAAGTAGACAACTCAAAGGAAAGCCAAGATGAAGAAGTAGAGCCACCCGTAAAC